GAGCAGAGTAAGTCTGATTCCCTGTAAGGACTTCTCTGTTGACATCCACCCCTTGGCGCTCATATGACCTTATGCAGTTGCAAGCGCTGTAAAACCTCTACTAAAACTAAACTAAAACTCTCTCTTTATTAACTCTGGATTACACTATAAATGGACACCCTCTTCCGTCCCCGCCAGGAGATGCCCAAACACAGGCGCGAGCAGAACCTCTTCCAGACGGTGCGGCTGATGATGGAACAGTTAGCCAAGTTCCGGAGCACCCTGGTCTCCGACACGCTGACCAAGGACCATGCTCGGGACCTCAAACATGAGGTGGTCACCATCATTGACTGGGGCAATGGGTGAGCGAGAATTGTTTTTTTTGAAAAATGTATTTTTGAAATACGTGGGACGCTCAATGTTAAAAACAATCAGGAAACGACAAATGCAGTTTTTGGGACACCTGAATAGACATAAGGGTCTTGAACATCTAGCTTTCACTGGCAAAATTGAGGGCAAGCGAGGCAGGGAACTTAAACAAATGGGTAACAGTAACAGGGAAAGATCAGGGAAACGTAGCTTTTTTTAGAGCGTCCGAGCAAAGGAATCAATGGAAAACCATGATCGTCGATGTCTGTTGCAGATCTGGCACTGGATGATGATTATTTTTTTTAATTAAAAAAAGTTTTTTTTTAAATTTAAAAAAGGAAATGAATTAAATGTGTCCATCATGGCTTAAAAGATTTTTTTTTAAGCTGCAAAATTTATCTTAAAAATGTTTTGATTCTTAAAATTTTTTTTAGATGTGTCCATTGTGGCGTAGAAGATATATTTGAGTCTTTTTTTTTTTTTACATATTTATTTTTTTAATTTCAGATTTCTTTTAAAAAATAGTTCAATGTGTCCATCATGGCATAAAAGATTTATTTTAATTTCATAAAATAAAAAAGATAAAATTTTAGCTTTCTTTTTAAAAATAGTTACATGTGTCCATCATGGTCTAAAAGATTTACAATTATTATACCACGAGATGTCATCTCTAACTAAGAGGTTGACATATAATGACCCTCCATCCTTCACGGTCGTGAGCTGCCGTTGCACATTCAGCTATACCCAGGCCAGTCCATGTTTGTCTTAATGCTGTCAATCCATGTTTCTCTTTGTTTTCCCCAGGCTTTTCTGCTCCACATCCTTCCTTCAAGCTCCTCTTTCACAATGGTCTGGTGTTGTTTTATGTGACCAAAGTGTTGTATTTTTCTACATTTTATTTTGTTAAGCAGGGTTTGTCTTGTGTGGAAGATTCTGACACAATTCATTGTTTGCCTTTTTTGTATTCCAGCTAATTTTGGCCATTTTGCAGTAGCACCACATCTCAAACGCAGCTATTTTGTTTTCTTTTTCTTCGTTTATAATTAATTATCATAAATCTTTCATGCCATTTTGGACACAGTCTTGGTAATTTAGGAAGACTATGAGTTCCTTTTTGCATTTAGCATCCGTTTGTACGTTGAGGATATGAAAACGTTAGAGATTGGTAAGAAGATTGGATTTGGTTTTTATTTGTGGTCGGGCTTTTTTGAGTCTGCAGTGTGGGTGTTTTGCAGGTGCTCTGATGTGGTCTGCCCCTTTTAAACATCTTTCGTCCTTTTCTCCCCTCTATTTTTTGTTTCTTACTCTAGTAAGACCTCTAATCTTCGGCACTTATATGACCTACTTGTGTTGCAAGTGTCGTTAAATTCTTACTAAAACTTAACTAAAAAATAATGTGCAGTGTTGTTGGTGGTTAAAGAACAACGGTGGAGTTCTTTTCAGGTTTTTTTTGTCTCTGTGACACACCTAGGCACGGACACACTCACACAAACACACACACACACACTCACCGACACACACACACGAACACACACTCACCGACACACACACACACACACACACAC